GTCCCACCATACGGAGAGCAGTCTATTCGTAAACGATGCAGGGGTGTTTAATAATTCATTGACTGGGAGGCTGTGCTGAGCTCCCTACACAGTAAATCTCGTGGGGGTCCAGCAGACACTTTTCCCTGCCTTGCGCAGCACTCCAAGAGCCTGCAAGACTGTTCCCCTGATTTCTGGTTTGTGAAATGGGCGGTGACGATGGCCCAGACTCACCTAGCTGCATGCAGATGGTTGAAATGATATCATAGAAGTCTTGGAGAAGCCTGTTTGAAGAAAGGAAAATCGTTTACTTGAGCGGTATGTGCATTTTAGGGCTGCAGTGGTTTGCATTGCTGCCTCGTGGCACTGCGGGCCTGGGTTCAATTCCAGACCTGGGGTGCTGTCTGTGTGGAGTTGGTATGTTCTTCCCGTGTTCACATGGGTTTTCGCCAGGCTCCTCCGGTTTCCTCCCACAGTCCAAAGACATGCTGGTAGGTGAACTGGCTTCTGGGAAAAACTGGCCCTGGTGCGAGCGAATGTCTGTGTCTGTGTGACCAGTGATGGACTGGCGTCCTGTCCAGGGTGTGTCCTGCCTTGTGCCTGTTGCTTCCCAGAATAGGCTCTGACTCCCCCATGACCCTGAATTAGATAAAACGCTTCGAAAATGGATGGATGATGTACTTTTTTGCAGAAAACTCATTAGACAAAACTACTTTCCAAAACACCTCATTAGACAAAACTGATTTGTTAATCACAGTGCTGTTTCTCTTTAATTTCTTAGACTATTTAGAAAAGCCTTTTCACAGGAGGAAAAAAGATTTAGAGACTAAACTCCCGCTGTGCCAGATGCCAGTTTGGACAGCTTTCTCCTTCAATCTTCCAAGCTGTTTTCCAGGATCTGGTACATTTTGTCTCTCACAATAATGTGAGAGACAGAATAATGTTAATTATTCTTACAGCAGCATCTTAGGATGCAGAGAAAGCCTTATCAATTGATAAAATATAAAGTCAAAGCAGTTACAAGGTTCAGCTTACCAGTTAACCCAGAAGCGAACAAAATAAAATCTTGATTCTGCTGTGGAAGGCAGAGGAAGTGTTAAAGTGTAGATCCCTGATGGTTTTTGACCTTTTTAATGAACTTGCTTAAAGTAGTCCTGTAGTAGTCTTGTAGTCCTGGGTTTGATTTGATAAGCCCTAAGCCTGTAGGAGAGCAGGTTCATTTCGGACTGAAATCACAAGTGAAATGATGTGAGCTGTCACAGCAGGAGCAAATGTACGTGTTTGGCACAGCTGGCTGGCTTTCTGCCAGGCTCTTGGGCGAAAGCTGTAGGGCATTAAGGCTGGCACTGAGGAATGGCATGGCATCAGTGTCAGTGACCCGTTCTGCGCGAGGTTCTGGAGAGTTCAAGAAACAATTGCAACATGTTTCAGTGGAAGTAACACCCAAATGTGAGATTTTTTTTCTCTGTCTGAAAATGCTAATAGCTAGTTATTGTGCCATGGTGGAATGGATACCCAATCCTGCCGGTAACATGCAAGTGATCTGCAGCAAGTGATCAGGATTGCCTGAGGAAGTATTTTTCTTTACTGAGCGTTGAGTGCAATGTCTTTTAAGACAAGGAGAGCGGTGACCTGGAGGTGTGGTGTCGACTCTTCAGGTTGTACTTTAAAGTACACAGCGCTGTATGTACTACATGTCTGCTAATTTATAGTACACAGTCCTCCAAATGAAATGTTGGTTTTGTATACTGTGGAATAAGTTACTTTTCTTGTAAATGTAGCCCTGTTAATAGTACCTGAGCATTAATGATTTGTATGTCATATTCCCCTTATGTGTATTACAAAACATGAACATTGAGAAAATAATTTGTAGATGCACAGATGCTTACGTGTATGAAGTATTTTTTCATTGTTGAAGTTGTTTGTGGAGGAAAGCCTTGCTGCTCCTCTCTCAGCAGCTTTCGCTGTATGCGACGAGGTCAGGTGTTGTTGACCGAGAGCTGAAGTCATTACTTCAGCCTTGAAAACATGCATTTAACTCGACACCTCCTTGGGTCAGAGGTGAGAGGTCACGTCTACCTGTGCTGTGCTGTTTTTTTACAGCACCAGTTTTGTCTGCCAGCTGTCAGTAAGAACCATGACATGCATTTCTCTGCCCTGGCTTTTTCCAGATGGATCAATAGGGCATCAGTGAACAATTCAGCAAATGTGCCTTTTCCCCAGGAAGCTGTGTGACCCGGTGTATTGGACTGCATGGAACGGCAAAGCCCTGTTTCTAGCACACTGATTTATGACATCTCTTTCAAACAATTATTTCATTTAGTAGTCTTTTACAGAAGATCTTTCAACTTGGCTCAGGAGACAGTTAAAAACAACACTTGGTAGCCAAGAAGCCATTTGCTCGAGCAGTAATTAGATGCTTGTGTGACTCAATCCAACAGCTGACGTTTTCCTTCTTGCCTTTTATATTTTTGTTTTAAAGGAGTGTTTATTTGCGCTGTTTTTTAAATTAAAGGTTAAAGGTTGGAATTTCTGGGGATGAAGTAGGGAAGGGTTTTGAAAAACTAAGAGAGCAGTTCCAGCTCGGGGGCAACAACATGAGCCATGCACACTGTCGACTGGATGTTCAAAGCCTTGTGTGAGGATGAAAGGTATAGAGTTCACCACATCAAAGCAGAGAGAGCCGAGTCTTTCTTAATCTATAGCGCAGCGTTCCTCAGCTAGGACCTTCCCGATTCCGATCAGGTAGTTTCAGGCAGAGAAAAATCATCATTAGAATGGGAGAGTTCAAAAGGCCATTCTGCAGAAGTCAGCTTAATTTGGTACGCTGTGGCATTTGAACTGCTCAGTCCCTTCAGACAGAGCTTTGTGAGAGCTGAGCTTGTTTTTCCCAGCCCTGTTGGTTGAATGATGCTGAATACGGGACGGCTTTGTATATCTTCACCAAGTCATGTTACCAAGCTTAAACCTCGCTGCTGTCGTTATGATGATGATTCTTTTAGGCAGGTCTGAAAAGGTGGTTCTGACCTGTTTCTCCCTGCTATCTGGAGTTGGAGCTGGTATACAGTACAAAGACAAAAAGAACAAAAATACTGGTCAGGTGTTGAGATAACATTGCAGTCCTGTACAATTTTTAATGTTCAAACTAGTCAAGTTGTCTTGAGCTGGTTTCTGATGTTGTGCGACTGCAGGACGGTTAGATTTTGTGGTGAATAATTATAAATAATTAATTGTATTAAGGGGCTGTGTGTATTTTATTTTTCCTGGGGACATTTCAACCTACAATGTATGCAGAGGTGAAACGAGTTTGCCTTTGTACTCATGCAAATGCAGATTCCAAATCTTTGCAATTAATTATCGGTTAAATATGTTACATTAATGACTTCGTTTGTACAATGTTGTACAGGTGCTAGATTATTTGCACCCGAAGTTCTAAGCTGAAAACAGCCAGGTGTAATGTAAAAGTTAATAGAAGGCTATAAATAGATGTGAGATAGTCACTGTCAGGGGCAGCAACGCTCTGTACTTCTGACGGCAGCAGGCTGGTGACAGTGGGGAATGCAGATAAAGTAGGATTGTGTGGAAAGTGCAGCATACTAATTTTGAACCTAAGATTCCTACAGCCTGGGAAAGAAAGCCAGTGTATTAAAGATCTACACATTTAGAAAAAAACATTCCACACATGAGTGTTACTGTACTCTTATTTTAATGGACTGAAATGGTTTTTATTTTTTCCTGTGCAGAATGTGCGTGTATTGGGTTCAGCAGTGAAGCCATTGATCCAGTGTTAGAGGAGATACAGGACATAAGTCATGTACTGGTGCTGATCCTTTCCTGTTTCAATGCTTTTCTTTGCAAGTTGTTTCATTTGTTTTGTCCTAATTGCATCTGCCTTTGTCAGGCTGACGATTGCTGTGCATTTTGAAAGCCGCAATTTCTTGAGGACAACACAAAATATAGATACAGTATCAGATCTAATTATCTGAATATCTGTCCACCTCTTGTCTGTGAATATTTTTGGAAGTTTCCAAATACATGCTGAGAATTGTATTGAGATTGTATGTACACTGTATGCAACTACTGGGTTCTGTACATTGCTGGAGTAATTTTGCTGTCATCTTGACTGAGGGGCTTTGGAAACATGCGATGAGGTGATTAAACTTTGTTGAATGTCAAGCCATAGTTAAAGAAATAGGAGACAGACTCAGAAGGGGTCCAGTGTGTCCCACAGTGCCCTTGTGTCACCGCTACCCTGTAGGCTGGACTAAGTGTCCTGTCATTTCTAACCCAGCAAGACATTAGAGAAGAACACAGCCCATCAGTGAGGGGTCACGGCCTGGGAGCCTCGGGTCACAACACTGGTGAAGGTTCCCGTTGTGATGGCCGGGGAGGGAGTGTCTAAGCTACACCCCTCGTAGTAGTTGTGGCGTCACATCTGCACTGCGCTGCGTTCCAGGTGGAAGTCCTGGAACCTTATTCACTGCCCTTCCTGCAAGGAGCGGTGAGGTAAGAATGTGACCCAATAGGTTGTGGGTGCCCTACAGGCCCGGCTCGAACCCCGTGACCATGTGTGGAGTGAGCCGGGACGATGTGTGGCCTTCGGGGCTCAGACACCAGGCATGTGCTTATCCAGGTACTAGGGGAGGGACTGAGACTGACCCCACAGGAGTGGGCAGAGGGTGGGCACATCGCAGGTGCAGAGGGTGGGCACATCGCAGGTGCAGAGGGTGGGCACATCGCAGGTGCACAGCTCGCTCCACTGCCAGTGGTGACCACACACGTCGCCAGCCCGAGACTCTCTGTTGGTCCGCCACATTGGTGACGAGTGCCAGTCGGCATAACGAATTGACCTCTTGTCATGTCTGTTCACTACAAACAGGACTGGCCTCCTGATGACAGCGTGCTGAATTTGCTGCAGGTATCGGTGACGCTGTTTTTGATGCACGGCGTTACTGTAGCTTACCGAGGGTGTCGGGTGTTTTGATCGCTGGACACCATTGACGTCTCTTTTTCTTCCGCAGGCGCAGAGGACGTGGTAATGGCTTTCTCCAGGTCAGAGACAGAGGACCGGAGGCAGTGACCCCTAGTGGCAAAAATAAGTGACAACACTACAACTACTGCAGACAGCCGGTGGGGGGGAGGTGGGCGGGCTGCCGACGCTGGAGAGGAAGGTGACCAGAAGAGTCCTGGGCGCTGACCACTCCGTCCTCTTCCTTTAACGTGACCGTCATTAAGCCTATCTGTTTGTTCGGGCCTGGTGCTCTCTGGACAGGGTCAGAAAAGACTACGTGAAAAGAAGAGGAAAAGAATACCTATAAGAATGGACTAGTCCGTGTCTCCTTTCTGGTTCTGTTTATTGCCCTTGTGGGTTTGTGTGGTTTTCTCGTTTTGTTTTGTTGTGCTCTGTGATTGGCTGGAAGGAATTCCAGGGCGAGTGTCCCGAAGCTTGATTGGTTAGAAGAGAGGAAGGAAGCAGAGAGCTCCGAAACGTGATTGGTTGGGAGTCTTGGTAAGAATCATCTTAGTGGGTGATAAAAAATTTGTATTCAGTGAGTTGGCTGGGGGACGTCATTCTTGAGAGGAGCTCTTTAAATTTGCATCTGTGAATTGTGATTTTTTTTTTCATTTTAATTTTGAACAACAGCCCGTTACCTTTCTTATAGATGTGTTAGAGAAGGAGCTATCTTCTTCTTGCTGCACAATTTAATAACAAGCATCTTTTCCTACCAGTTTTCCAAACTCACCCTGCTGTGGATTGCACTGTGTTCTCTGCAGTCAGGCGAGCTGCAGTAGAGGATAATAGCATCCCTAACTAATTTTAATCGCCACACACACCGAATCACTCACACCTCAGGATTTGCATGACCCTTTGTCGTGGTCAGTACAGACTGTAAAAATTATTGCCTCTCTTGATTGTACAGAAATAACATGAAAATATTGAAAGTGATCCGGATTTGTTTAAAAACAACCCTCCAAATTTATAAACAAATTATGAGTTATTGTTTTTTTGTGGGAACTAATTGAATGCTACATTTTTAAATGACAGGAAAATAAGAGGATGAAGGGGTATTAGGCGCAAAGGTAGTCAGTTTTGTTGATTATGGAAGTTGAGGAAGGCGGAAAAGGCTTCCCACGTTTGATTTTAAACTAATCCTATTATTAAAGTTGCAGAGGAACAAAGAATTTGAGAGAAGGTGAGTAGGTGGTTTGAGGGGTTATTTTGCAAATATGGTAAAGTACAAAATGACTGAGATGGGGGATTTGTATGCAAGTTTGATTATGTCCACAAGAACAAAAGACTTTAAAGATCAGTTTCACTCACCTGGTTTAATAATGTGATGCTTTAAATCCTAAATGCAGTTTAACCCCAAATTGTAGATAGATACACCTAACAGTTTTTACAATACGATGCTGAGCAATCGTCAGGAAAGGTCACCACCACCATACTATTGAGTGGAAAAGAGTTTGGTTGTTTCCTTTTAACCTTCTGATAGTGGAAGGTTTCTTAAAAAAATAAAATTGTGATTTTTCTTTGTACGTTTGTTGATTTAACTGGAATTTTTTGTGTACGCTTTGCATAGATGTCTTGTGGTTGTATTACTTAACTGATGCTTTGTATTTAATATGGTTTTTAGTTTTTATCCTTCCATTGTTTCCTCGTTTTGTGTTGCTTAACTTAAAAATGAGAACAGGTATGAAAGACTTAATGTTTTGAGATCAAGCATGCCCAGCCTGTGGCTTACCCTGCTCAAAGCTCTGTGTGCGTCTTAAGACCATGGCCTCAGTCACTTCTGCTTGTAAAGACAATACAGCTTTTGTGTAACACAGCCGTAGATCGATTTAAAACAGAAAAGATGATCAGAAATCCTGGGTAAATATATTTTATGTCCAGTTTCTGAGCATGGATATTTTATTTGGCCAATGCAACAGTCTTCATAAGAACAAAATACGGTGCCATTTCTTAAAATAATGGTTGTACCTTTTTAATTTGTTTTGTACTTGTTTTGTTTTTTCTATGCATTTTTTGAAGCAGAAAAAGACACTGAGCTTTCAGACACAATCTGTAGTTCCAATGTGGGTGTGTGGTTGTTGTAGTTTGATATCTCAACTTTATATTTACAAGCAGCATTAGCAGCATGCCTTCCATTGTTAGCAATAGAGCTGTATTAGTTTAATGTGATTCATTAGACTGAGTTCTTAGCAGTGGTCTAATTCCTAAGACAATTTGTTTCCAGTTAGAACTGAACTTCATTAATTTATTCTTGGGTGGCTGTTGACCAAGTAAGACTTCTGTCTTGGATAAATGCTTCCAATCTCTGTATGGTGGAATCATGAAAGATATTTTAATGTTACCCTCTCAAGATAAACTACACGTGTCTCCGTTTAGAGTGCGCCTCCACCTTAAGTTGTCATCGCTGTTTAAATCCTGTCGCCACAGACCGAACAGGAAGTTTGGTTTTAATATTCTGAAGACTGGCCACACGCTTTCAGGTGAGGGACTGGACCCTAGTCCTAAAAATGTGGATTTCAGGGCAAAAGGTGGCTGTTGGTTTAAAAATGAATGAAACGAATAGAGCTACATGTTTGTTTTCTTATTCTTTCACGGTAGTTGACATTGAACACATAACCAACATCAGTATATTCTTTATTCATGCAAAAGAAAGGTTCAGACTGGATCATCGTTTGTTCTATTTTGTTTTCCTTTTAAAAGAAATGCTGTATTCCTTATAATAATTGAGAACAACAAGAATAAAAAAGAAATTTATAACCAAGTGAGGCCCTTTCTTCAGAAGTGTGTTTTACTCTTTAATTACTACTCTCGTTAGCCGTTGGCCTTTACTTCTTGTGGAGTGAATGAGAATGTTCTAACCAGATGAGTCCAGAGCAGCAGAAGGCACTGAACATTTGTCTCTCATTCCAAAAGAGTCTCCTCTGTGCTGTGCCACAGCTCAGTACAGTCGGAGAATTTCGTTTGTGTGGCTCTTTGTCCTTGACTTCCTGATGTTATGTTGTCTCTTTGGACCTTTAGCAGAATTCAGAGCCAAACCAGTACATCGGTGCCTGTTGCATTCAAATTCAGATACAGCATTTTTAGATGCTAAGAGGTTTGACACGGTGCACATGTGGCGCAGGGATAGGGGACCTGCTCTCTGCTCTCCTGCTCTGCTGTCCTTGTCCTATTTCCTCTCCTCCTCTTTCCTTTCCTGATCCAGCGATAGGGGGTTAAGCTGGTGGAAAATTGTGAGTGATCTCTAAGCACCTGCAACTTAGGATCATGCTGCGCCTTGCCCTGTCTCTCCCAGCTGCCCACGAAGAGCTCGGAGCTCACAGTCATCGACTGGCATGTACTCGCAGACCACTCTCCCTCCTCCTCCACACTCCAAACCCACACTGCTGCTGCCCTCACTCCCGGAGTGGAGGAACACCAAGAGCGTCACTCGTCAGGCTCATCTCCAGTATTGACCGCTAGAAAAACACAGAACAAATGGATGTTTCTCACCCTTATTGTTTTTTTTTTATGTAAAAGAATTGTATTGTACGGTAAAAACAATGTACCATCTGGACCAAGGTTTCAATGTCCCGCCCTGAAGAGCCCCAATCTCTCACATTGCTTAAGATCTTTCTTAAAATAATCAGCTTAAATCCTAAAGCGAGAAGTTTTTTAATTATTTTATTATTTTCCTGAAGCATAACTGGGATATGAAAGAGGGGATAGTCCAGTTGTGGCTCTTTTAAAATGCAAGAGTGACAGCTTTTACAAAATATTATTGACGACCTAAATAGTGGCAGTGTTACAGCATTCTTGAAATGTTTCCATGTCCAAAGATAACTTCAGCTTTGAGCTTTCTGGGTCACAAGGGTTGTTTCTGTTAGTCAAAGGATAAAGACACAATTAGTGATTACAGATTGCATGGAAAAATAAATAATTGCAATTATACTTTAATTAAAGAGTGGATCTATTTTCATCCAAGGGTTTTATACTTTTGTGTGATGAATTAAGTGGAAAGTGAATAAATATAGGGCAAGGAAGGTTTTTAAAGGAGTCAACAGGAAAGCCAGAGACAATTCTCTTGCACCGTAAGTCTCAAGAAAGGTTGTTTTTTTTCCTGTATCACAGTGAGTCATTCTGCAACAATCCAGTTGAGCACCTGCAATGCGTAAGATAAAGTTTACCAGAGTGCATTAAGACAATGAAAGTGTGGGGTTGAGACCCCTGTGAAACTCTGGTCAGCTTGCTAAGGTTATTTAATGAGGTCAGACGATGGGAACGGTAAATCTGAAATCAGCTGACGAGGGAACAATAACAATGAGTATGCATGCTTAATTAAGGAAGTGCAGGGACATTAAGGCATCCATTAGATGTGTAATTCATAAAGCACTCTTGTTGATTATTACTAAACCTACATTTTCGTCTTATATTGCTTGTATATTCTCTATGCAGCTTTTGCTCAGAGATCTGTGGTTGCTGTTTTGCAATAACCTCAGTCTATTGTCACAGCAGAATACCTGAGAGGCTGCTCCACAAATAGACGTGTCTCTGCTTCTCTCATTAAAAGACTCGGTTCCCTAGAAGCTTGTTGCATGTTCAGATTGATTTTCATTGTATATAATGTCTCCTACAAGTCCTCAAAAATGAAAAAAACCTGTGTAAGCTTTTTGTTTAATGAATCGTGTTCATTTTTGTGTATTTTCAAATGAATTATGCTTTTCCCCTTGTTCCGTGGTTGTGTGCATGACAGATTTTATGTTAGGGCTTTAACATAGCTGTGAATAGCATAGAAGCCATCATGCAAAAGCTAGTGTTAAACATGTAAGGGATATCTCCTTCATTAATTCATAGTCATGTTTAAATGGTTGATGTCTGTTCACTGTTTCCTAGATTTCTACAAATACCAATCACATGTAAACACCACACTGCTTTAAAACTGGCACTGCTGCATGTTCCAGGAACCTGGAGCTGTAAGGTGATAGTGCTAACCAGTTACCATTCTGTTTTCTGTTATAATTACCAATGGAAATACATAGGATTGTTTGCAACTTTGTGATTTTTTCACCCTTCTTCTAATGAAGGGAAGTTTTGTCCTTGAGAGTAGCCAGCCCTGTAGGTGCACACATTGATCATTTACAGGAGCTAATGGATGGACTGTAGATTAATTAGGTATGCATGGTGGGATGGCTTGAGAAAGTACCTGGTACCTGTTTACAAAGCTAATTGGGAGAAATGGAAATAAAGTGGGAGTTTGCTGCAGTTTGCAACCAGTCTGGGAAGGAAGCCAGACCACCTCTCACAGGCATGCCAAGATAAACAAAGAAGATGCTCAACTTTTTAAATTAGCGACAGCACTCTTTTTCTTTATTTGGAATTATTACCATATTCTGTCTGGAAATAGTGGCTCAGTCTTGCATCAGGAGCAAACCGAGCATAGACACATCAAGACAGCATTACTGTTGGTCAGATACGACCTTTTTCCAAGTGAGTCTTTAAATATACAAGCAGTAATGAGAAACAACTTGGCATAGTCTCATTAGCAAATAACTGTGCACTCTAATCCATTATTTCGCATAGAGAAAATACAAAACATTGGGTTGCTGTTGTACTTTACACTGTGTGGCTTAACTCTTTAGTGACAAGGGAAATCCCACAGAGAAACATGAGTAAATTCGATAACGGCCTTTGCATAAATAGTGAAGGGTAAAGATTTTCTGACTTTTATAACAGGGTCTTATCACCTTAACATTGCCAGAAATGTGTGATGTCAAAGTCCAGATTGTGCCATCTACCACCTACCATCTCCTAACCATTTACGTTGTGGAAAATCACCACACATTGCTTTATTTGTTTTCTTTCGACTCAAACGGTTTGTCTTGAAAAAAGCTCCAGCCCAGTGCGAGTGCGTTTCATTTCGAAGCGATTAAAAAGAAACAGACGAGACTTCACTTGCACCATCTGCCTCTGATCAATACCCTGTCTTGCGGAGACCTTGATGCTGGTGCTTCACCTGTAAGCTCTCGAATTGTTGATGCCGTCACACAGGGAGAAGGTATTTCAAACACCCACAAAAGTATGTGCCATACCTGAGCTGACAGGCGATGGAGAGAACATCCATTCCTCCGAACTTGACGGGTTTGAAGGGTTTTTTCATGATTTTTGCTCTAGAAGCTGGCGTAAGTCTGCTGCCACAGGCTCAGGGTGAAATGAGCCCTTGACACCAGCATTACTAAATCCAATATTCTCACCTTCTGCATTGGCAAATCCATGACACAAACCCTCGATTACACAAGGCTGTCTTTAGTGATAACCCTTCCATGGGTGCAAAGATTAGGGCTGGAAACTGGTCCAATTAAGTGATGCTTCAATTGCTACATTTCAAGTAATCAGGAAAGTGGGTTCGTGTTGCCTGTAAGGAATGAATTTAACATTCATTTTTGTCATTTTCAGCTTTCACTTCTTTTTTCAGTGCCCAGTGGCTTTGGTGCAGCAGACCCACCTCAGGCAGAGGTAGTGTGTTCATGTGACCGAGCTTCAAATTAACATTGAACATTAACTTGGTGTTAACTAATATAATTAACATTGACATTTAGACTAGACGGGCAGAAACCAGCTGACGCTGGTAGCAGGTCATGCAGTAAACCATGAAATGCCCCCCAGCCCATCTCAAAACACAGGCGCTCCTGGCTTTTGGTCTGGCCGACCTGGCACCTCTCACACTGGGACACGCTGAAGGACACTGAAACTAACGACCCATTGGGCATTAAAGGCCAAACATGTTGACCCTTCCCTGATAAATGTTACTGCAGAGAAGCATGGGAAGACCACAAGCAGGGAGCTGCGTCAGCATGCACAGGCTGTGAAGGAACAAGTAGGGGTTTATTCCCTGCTGAAAGGAACAACGTTTCAGCTGTGGACCTGGAGCTGTGGCATGGTGGAGGGCGTGTTATAATGAATGGGGCTGGGTGAATACAGAGGTGGAACTGAACCGGCTACTGTGTATAGTCTGTCTCTGATTGTCTGATGGCCGATGTTGTCTGATTATACCACTTTCTTAAAAGGGTGGATAACAGAACTATGCTGTCATTCCCTCTCATTGTACATAGAGTTCCCAGGACCGGCTCACACACCTGAAGAAGGCTCCACAGCCGAAATGTTGTGTCTCTTTTCTTTTTCCTTTCTGCAGTGAATAGACCTTCACCTGTTCCATGGTAAGAGCACAGCATATTGACAACGGTTTCAAACGGAAGGAGGTCATTCAGACCGTCTGGCAGCGGGCAGCGAATCGATCCCAGGGGCCCAGTTTTCTGAAAGAAGCTGGGTTATGGACTTGAACATCATAGCTGTGGGGGGAAATACCGCTGATGCAGGGCAAGGTGTGAGATTCCGGAATACAAGCAGCAGGAAATCTTGGGAAAGTGCTGCCGGTGCTGCTTGCGTCCTGTCCGGCATGAATCCCGCCTTGTTTGCGCTGCTTGCTGGGATAGGCCCGGGCTCTCCCGCGACCCTGTAGGGGATACAGCGGTTACATACTGGGTAGATGGACGGATATCCAATATCCCAATATCGAGAGTGGTCAGAGGAAATGGGGGCAACTTTCTGCACCGACTGAACCGACTCGCCACTGGAGCACGGAGCTGGGGCACACATCTGTCTTGAAAGCACTCAGCCTTTGCTTCTTCCCACCTAGTTCTCCAGATAAGAACGTTCCTCTTTCACCAAGGGAGCACATGTGATTAGCCGCAGCGAAGCAAGTCGTGCCTTTCCCAGACGCGAAAGAAG